GTAATCCAATGTAATAGGGTCCCACAATTTATCACACGTAACCATTATCACAATGTACACAGAAGGCTAATACGGTAACACAATACAACACGTAGAAACATAAATTATAAGCGAACAAACGAAATCAGTAACAACAATTGGTAAACTGATTTGAGCGCATCACCATCGCACATTGACTGGAGTTCACGCATTCAATAGGCGGTAGTTTTCGCACGAAATGCGAAACTACCTACACGCGTAGAACAAACGGCGCGTTTCCACTGCACTATGCGAGATACTATTTATCGTATATCGTGAATTAAGTTTATTGATGAATACTTATAAAACATGTTGACCTATTATTAATGTGTCTGTGTAAGTGTCATGTAAATATTAAAGTTATGTAAATGTAATTAATAGAAGCCCACAATCTTGCCACAATATGCACGCTACATTTTTGCTTCTTGCTAGTAAATGCACCCGCGACAAATGCGCCCTAGGTGTGCGTGCCTCGCTGATATATGAGGGCGTTAAATGTGTCGCGTTTCAAATGTTGCGCCACAATTATCGTAATACAATTGTATGTCTGGTGTGCGGCCCGCCTTAGTGCACAGATCAAATCTATCAGCAGACCAAACAGTCGCTATTGACGCTACAGATTCAGCGATTCAATTCGTATTCTAGCACAAGCTCAATCTTGAGTGTGATTCGGCAAACACGGCGCTTATCACTACATATATGCGGAAATCAACCCCGTTTAAGTGTACTTATTGCCTATTGAATAATTGAATATAATCATGGACCAATACATATCCAGTTCATTAGGTAGCTAGTAGGTGAAAAAACAAATTCCTCACACACACACACACACACACACACACACACATAGGCTTTTCTATACAAACACACATACAAGCAAGTGGTACCAAGGTAGATACGCGGGTGGGACCTGGATTCCTGAAATACAGGGTCGCCCTAGTTTAGGCTCCAGATCTCACACATTCTGTTACATATAAATGTTAAACCAATTATAATTAAAATTGGTTTAACATTTATATTGTTAACCGTTTAACCTTATGATGTGTGTGATTGAAACAAGTTTATTCATTATGTAACCATTTATATACCAAAATGAACTTAACAAAATATAGATTCTTATGACAATAAAGTTTATTCAAAATGACCTCCGTGTTTTTGAATATAGGCCTTCAATCTGCGCGGCCAGTCGTCTATCGCAGCACGAACGAGGTCCATGTCAATATCGGCGGCTGCCTTAATCAAGGATGTCTTGAGTGACTCCAAATTGGGATGAGGCTTTGAGCACGCCTTTTCCTCCAAGTGTTGCCATATCTTGTAATCTAACGGACTCAAATCTGGACTGGAGGAGGGCCAGTCTTCGTGCCGGATGAAGTCGATTTCACGCGCCGTCAGCCAGTCTTGTGTGCTCTTCGCTCTATGAGCTGGCGCCGAATCTTGTTGGAATACCCAGTGCCTGTTATTGAACATGGTATGAGAAACAGGTTCCACAAGGTTCGTCAGGACTGTATTTTGATACACAACTGCATTCGTTTTTACACCTTTCTCACAAAAATGTACCTCTGTTAAGCCCCAATAAGAAACTTCCAACTATGCCATGAGCAAGGATGGAAAATGACCTCGTTGGACACGCGGAATACTGTTGCTCGCTTCTTCACTACTGTGTGCGTACACCTTATCATTTTGTTTGTTGTAGGTCTCTTAAAATCGTCGTAAAATTTTTTTCATCCGAAAAAAGAGTTTCTGCTGAACAGTTGCTGCTTACGGTTGGGATTTCTTTGAATTCGCGCCTTCACTGCTTTTATCTCTGCTAAAGTCCTAACAGACCGAGGGCGACCACTTCTTGACCTGTCATCTAAATAATAAATAAATAAATAATAAATCTTTATTGTGTATGGAACAAGGTAACATGAAAATACAGGTCTTAATGCTAATGTACAGTGCCATTTGATCCTACCTTTTCAGGTGTATACACATTTTGTACGTATAGGAACCATTTGAATATTTCTACTTATATTCTTCATTGTATCGTTTGATGGTACGACAAACGAATCTTTTGGTTATATTCAAATTTTCAGTATGTCAAAATTTTGAATTATAACTTACTTCTAAAGAAAATATAACTAGAAAAAAATCCACGCGGACCAGGCAGCAGACGGGACTCGGACTTGCCTTGCAGCTTAAGAATGGGTAGAAGAATTTCGACGCGGTACGTGAGGGCTGCGGTAGCATAATTGGTCAGTGCATTCGCCCGGATTGCGAAGGGTGCGGGTTCGAGTCCCGTCTGTTGCCTGGTCCGCGTGGAATTTTTTCTAGTTATATTTTATTTAGATTTAAACATCAAGCAGTTACATGATTTAAAATAATAAAAATTATAACTATAATTGCTATTTCTTCTTTCAAAATGTTTAATACTTATTAAAAGTATTCATTTGACATTGTGGGTTACCTATAATGCGAAGAGATGGCGTAGCCTTGCAGCTTAAGAATGGCTAGAAGAATTTCGACGCAGTCCGTGAGGGCCGCGGTAGCATAATTGGTCAGTGCTTTCGCCCGGATTGAGAAGGGAGCGGGTTCGAGTCCCGTCTGCTGCCTGGTTCACGTGGAATTTATTCCAGTTATATTTTCTTTAGATTTAAACATCAAGCAGTTACATGCTTTAAACTAATAAAAATTATAACTATAATTGCTATTTCTTTTTTTCAAAATGTTTAATACTTGTAAAAGTATTCATTTGACATTGTGGATTACCTATAATGCGAAGAGATGGCGTTGCCTTGCAGTTTAAGAATGGCTAGAAGAATTTCGACGCGGTCCGTGAGGGCCGCGGTAGCATAATTGGTCAGTGCATTCGCCCGGATTGCGAAGGGTGCGGGTTCGTGTACCGTCTGCTGCCTGGTCCGCGTGGATTTTTTTCTAGTTATATTTTCTTTGGATTTAAACATCAAGCAGTTACATGCTTTAAAGTAATAAAAATTATAATTATCACTTATTCTCAAACTAGCTGCCGCCCGCGACTTCGTACGCGTGGATTTAGTTGCACATACTTTTTGACACCAAAACGGGGTTTATTTCTAAAGATACATTATTAGTACACCTCTACACCATCTATAGAGCATACATTCGATACATACATCTTTAAAGCGATTCTAACACAGTCAAACTGCAAAATACTACGCTGCGTGCAGTTCGTGTTCTTACGTCAGTCGCAAGTGCCTCTCTTTATATTAAAACACGCCTAGTGTATCACACCGAAAATACATTCACGCGCAGTGTTGCAGATCACGCGCCTACATGCAGAGAAACATGTATCTAAGCACGGCGATGCGGGGCAAAACGCAAGGTATGTCACACCAAGTCGTCGAGTTCTACAGTACCTATTAATTTTACATACTAAAACGTCTACTGCGCAAGTTTATTTGTCTATGGTTTTGCTCAAGAAGTTTGCCGCGACTAAGGTTACCAGATGAAAAAATCAAAAATCCGGAGAAAAGGCTTGATTGCCATTGAAAAATCCTGAGTTTTTTTACAGTTTGAGATTTTTCTCTCAAACATTCTTAACAATTTAATAAGTAGTAATACACTGTGGACGTCGCTCACGCGTTGCAAATAGCTCTCGAAGGGCGGGGGTGGACGGGGTGGCAGCGATACTGATTTTAAGATATGTCTAAGATTTTAATTGTACAATTATTATATATGTTTCTTAGGTTTTCACGCACATCACTCATTAAATAAAACTAGTTTTAACGGGTTAATGCATGAAACTTTATTTATTTATTGACGTTTTTCGTGTACGTTTTGTTGGTAATACCAAAGGAACATTATTTTTTAGTTTGTTTAACTTTTTATTAAAGAGATCTTTAAAACGTAAGCTGTATTTTATTTAAAATTAAAAAAAAACTGAGATTTCATGAGATTTGCAAAATCCAACCGCAGTCCTGAGAAGAGTTAGAAATTCCTGAAATCTCAGGACAAATCTAGTCGCGACTTATTTTACAAATATGTGATTGAAAATGCTTGTTCATATTTATGTTCATATTATCTAAATAAATGATCCACCCATATATCGATTTGTTCGTAATACATAAAAAATAAATAAAGATTTACAACACTCACACCAATTAGCCCAGCCCCAAAGTAAGCACTATAAGGCTTGTGTTATGGGATGCTAGGGTAATGGATAAAATACATATACTGTACATATATAAGTATATGTATATAGAAATACATATTAAACATCCATGACTGGAGTACAAATGCGTCGTATTCATCACACAAACATCTGCCCCCACCAGGATTCGAACCCGGGACCTCTCGAGTCGGCGACACACCATAAAAGCCGGCGTACAAACCACTCGGCCACGGAGGTCGTCAATTCGAAAAAAAGAATGTACCCTGTTTTCTACAAGTACTTCTTCTAATTTGATTATAAAAAAAAACAAACAGATAAATATGACAACCGCATGGCAGCATCCGAACTGATTTCAAATTCTACTAAATATTTCCCGTCCCGTCATTTAGTCCTGTCCGCTGCCTGGTCCGCGTGGATTTTTTTTCTAGTAAACTTTTCTTTAAATATTTTAAATTTAAACAACAATGCTCTGCAGTGAAGTGCAGTGTACTATACCATCGCCAGCTACTTTGAAATGTGGTCGGGCAATTTTATAATACTGCATCCTCGTACGTATGTTCAGCGAAATCTGATGCAGATCAGCAACCATGCGCGTGGTTCCGATCGCCACGCACCCCACAGGCCCACTGGCTAGTGCGGGCGGGGCAATGAGACAGGTAATCACCCAAGGTTATGGTCAATATTTGGTTACTTTCTCTTGTCATGTCTGGGCTGAAATGAATAATATTATTGGTAGTGATATTTTGCAGTAGTTTTGGAGGTTTGAATTTGAATTTTGTAGTATTGCAGCATGTAGGAACTTACAAGTAGCGACATCTACATATTTTGAAGACATGAAGATCTTGGAAACTAAATGCAAAAACATTTGATACACTGCCCAAAGCTTGGCCCAAAGTGCAAATTAAAGACTCGGTAGTTCACAATGTGGAGGATAGATGTCGCTAGCCACGCTTCGTTACTAACATACAGAAATACAAAGTAATCTTTCTCTTTGTAATATTGGTATATATTATTCGATCAACCCAATGAAATTACTTCGAAAATAATTGCTTTCCATGATATAATATAAAACTCATATTTGGCAACACTACCAGTTGCAACAAAAAAATAAATAGTGTCATTTTGTCAATGTCAAAAATCGGCGTCGTTGCAGGCCGCTGTGTTTACTTTAATTTGTACTCTTGTACGCATAACTAATTAATTATATTAATAGAAGTAGTAGTGCATTCCAATTAAATAAGAAAAAGCTGATTAACTTAAGGTGAGTTATCGTTTATAGAAATTCTACATGCTTTTTGTTTAATTTACTAGGTGCTACAGCTTTCAGAGGTTATTTTTAAATACCAACTTTCTATTGTAGTTTTATAATGATTTGAACACTTGTAAAAATAGTAATGATGACAGAGGTTGAATTTACATGTCGATTAATGTAATTAATGATTTTTATGCACAAAAAATCCAAAAAAACATACCAAAAAAAAACAAGTTAGTATCGCCCCTTATTCTCCGCCATATCATAATCTTGAAAAGGCCATCTAACTTTTAAAACCTAATTATTCTAAAATTTATTCAAATTGAATTGAATTCAAAATATCTTTATTGAAATAGGAAGAATAATACAACTCTTTTTATATTAATATTTTTTCCCCCTACCACCCAAGGGCATTTTTTTTGCAAAATATTTACCAAAAGAGTAAGCTAGCAAAGACAATTACTTATTTATTGTGTGCTAAGTGTTATTATGTGACTCCACAAGTGTTCATCGCCCATTCCAGAATGTCCGAAGACAAAGACGCACCTTTACCTGAAGGATGGGAGATGAGGACCAGCCGGTCTACTGGTATGACATACTTTCTCAATACCTACACCAAAAAGTCCCAATGGGAGCGACCAGAAGCACCCGCAGACCCTGGAGAGATACGTTGCAGCCATATTCTAGTAAAGCATTCTGAAAGTCGTCGCCCATCTTCGTGGCGTGAAGAAACCATCACTCGTACCAAAGAAGAAGCTTTAGATACAATAAAAAGTTACCGCAAACAAATTGTGGGCAATGATACAACTTTTGTTGACTTGGCAACTAAGTATTCAGATTGCTCATCTGCTAAGAGAGGGGGCGACTTAGGATTGTTCGGACGAGGTCAGATGCAGCCTGCTTTTGAAGAGGAAGCATTTAAACTTAAAGTCGGACAACTCAGTAAGCCGGTTGAGACAGATTCTGGCTACCACCTTATATTTAGGACTGTCTAAATTAAGTTTTTAAATATACCTATTCCGAAATTAGTGACAAATTTTAAATGAATCTATTTGAAACAGCATGTTTATAAAGTTTTAAAGCAAGAGTTTCTCTTTCAGTATTGCAAAAGCAATGGAGCCAAAAGTTTGTGTCAATGAGACATGAATAATCTCTGTTCCAAAAGTCAAACATAATATTGCAGTAAGATTAAAACTGGTTGTGTAACTTTAGTCCTGCAATCCCATCGCATATTTGGTAAAGAGGTTGGATTGTCACAATGATATTTGCTTTAGATTGAAAGGAATGAGTAAAAAATTAAAAATAAGGCGACATAACAGATCACCTATTTACTGCTTGTGTACTTAGAGATGACAAAACTAGAACTTGGTTACTAAACCAAGTTATATTAATGTTATCCAATACTATTAAAGGTCACTTTCAATAATTAACCTGAAAAGTAAAAGGTTGGGATAATCTGATCCCCTTTCTCGGCAACAGTTGTTATTAAAATTTTAATAATATAAATAAATATCTAGCTCCCTAAACTAGTAGACCTACTTACTGAAATTTGATTATTGAAACTGGCCGTAAATGCAGTCAAAAATTTGTTATTAAAATTCCATGCAAATACAATGTTTCGATAGTTTTTTTTATAAAATTATAATAAAATACCTGTTCTATACTTATTTTAGATATTATAAATATTTATTACTGGGTACACCAGCAAGAAAATAGAAAATCCATTTTTTTATCAGTATAGATCAACTGCAAATAATAAATATGCTCCTATGTGACAATTTTTTTATATGAGGAATTGACTTAACTTTAAGTTTTGTTATTTTTGTATGGTTGGATTGATGTAAATTCTCTTTGAATATCAATAAAAATGTATTTCTGGATAGCAATTTGTTTTATTGCTTGAAAGGATTACCGAGACACTATATGAAAGATTTACATTGATAGAGTAACTCCATCTAGTGACCATAGTCTTAAAGTCAACATTTTATGTAACATGAACTTTACAGGATATACCTGTCCACCAACAGAGTCCATCATGCCAGTCAATCCAAATAATGAATCTTTCATAAAACCTTTGATCATTTATACGCTTAGATAAAGCAATCCAAATATACCACGCCAAAAAAAACTATTCATGTTACGCGCAATGTGTACGTGACCTGTAGCGAAGAGCATATCTACCATATGTAGTAGATATGTTTTTCGCCACTTTGGTGCAGTTAATACTGTATACGACACTACAAGGTCCAAAGATTTTCACATCTTTATTTTCTTTGATAAATAAGTAGGTAGGTACACGGGCATGATAGAATCAGATGGAGGAAAGAATGTACAAGTAGTTATTAAGAAGTCATTGAAACAGATCCAAGTAGACAGAAGGCTAGTTAAGGTTTCCCTTAAAAAGCTCCACAATCTATTGATATTCTTGACCTGCAGAATGAAGGTCAGGAATATCAATAGACTGTGGAGCTGGAGTGGAGTGAAAACGAGAACTAAATATCAGTACACATTTGACAATGACACTTCGAACTCGCAAACTATTCGAATTCGATAATGGTTCGTGCTATGCTAGGGGTACTGAATTGTTCGGTAATTCCGCTCCGATCAGTCAGATATAAATCTGTTTGCTCGGAGTATTTTGACCGATGAGAAAGATTAATGTAATTATCTGTAATGTTATGAGGTTAGAAGTTGAATCTACGGTTGGTCGAGCAGTTCGTTAAATAGCAATTTACTCAGATTAATCTGTGATCATATGACCAAAAATCCGTCGCCTCTGCGATGAAAATACCTAGGGCTGCCATCCGTCCGGGTTTCCCCGGATTTGTCCTAGTTTACGGGGCGTCCGGGGAGCGTCCGGGCGGGGTTTTATTTGTAATCCGGGTTTAAAAATTTACGGCAACAAATGAGTGGCCCTTGGTGCTGCAAGTGTCCTTGGGCAGCAATGACCACTTATTATGAGGTAGACCGCTAGCTTTTTTGCCTAGATCAACATAAAAAAGTTGATTTGTGACATTTTTAGCTGTTTTTTTATTGGTCTGTCCGGGTTCTGGGCTTCAAAATCCGGGGTTATCACGCGTCTTATCCTGGTTGCCACATTTTAGAGATGTCAGCCCTAAAAATACCGAACGTAGCTACTGATTCCATGTAACACTGCGAATCAGTACTCGTAGTTTTACATGCAGGCAGCGGGTCAATTATGCTTCAGTGACATAATCCTAATGTGATTTCAATATGATGTTGATGCCAAGTTGACATTGTTTTTAAATGGTATTATGAAACATTCCTATGTCACATCAAGATCATATTAATATCATATACTTTATCACATTTTTGACGTTTATGCGATACTGTTTTAAGTCGAAAAGTTGAACGTAATACGCATTTAAGTTATTTTATCAAGTTGAGATCATTTTAAAGAGTTGATCATAATACGCTTATGTTGTTGTCTACTTGATGTCATTTTGATATCGCATTTTTCGGAGAGCATAATATGTAATGTGAAATTGACAACAAAACAATATCACAATTAGCGAGCATAATTGGCCTGCAGTAGTCGAGACGTGGGCGGTATAACTGTCTTCAAATCAATTAACACTATGCCAGTATCGGGTCAGCACTGATTTGACTCGAATTTGGCGTCAGTAACTGACTTCATGTCAATCTCAATCTGCCTTTAAACAATTAACATTAGGCCCTAAGGCGTCCTCCTAATTGGCAACGATTGTACGACGACACGATACGTTCTTGTCGTGCAATGATTTTCAAACATCGAATTTCTTCAGAGGTGTCATAATACAGTTCGTAAGCCGTCGCATGAGCAGAGGTACAATATTTTTATCGCACGATGAGATCGCGCCATTGCACGATCGTTGCCAATTAGGTGATTCGACTTCTGGCAACTCCTTTGCTGTTTAACATCACTTCTCATCTTCTTTTCATGCAAGCTTCGCAAAGACGACTGTCCAAAATGCATTTGTTAAATATAATGCGATTCAACTAAGAATAGGACCGGCTGGATGCCATATTGTGACGTCATAGCTGTCAATTCGAACGAAATAGGTAGAGTGAGCAAGAAAAAATATTTAATAAAATTTATTTGCTAAGATTAAATGAGAAAAAGCATCAGATTTTTTGTAATACCATTTATTTACTAAGTTTTAGAAAAGAAAACGACGAACTTTAAATAATATTTATTTATTAAAACTGTGCGAAAAAACATTAATCAGAATTAAGCTCTTCAATTCCGCTCATCTTTGCATTACCGCCGGAGTAGTTATGAATAATCATGCACCGTTACTAAGTCACATATGAACATGCATCCTTTATGTAAACGAAAGTTTTTAAATCGAGTTCCTGAATGCAACTTAAAGTGGCATTTGGTTGACGATTTAGAATAACAAACATTCGTAACCAAAGCTCAGTATATGAAAAAAAATATCAACCAATATTAGTTATTGTTTGCTTACAAATGTTTGGTTTTTAAAGTTTTTATTCTAGAATTAGCTGAGTATTAAGAAAGGGTTTCAAGATTTTTTTGCAAACCGTACTTTTCAAACGACATTTGACAGATGGAGGTCATTGGATTTCCTATTCTTATTTGAATCGCATAATACTCGTAGGTGTTTACTAAAATTCCCATATCCCGTGCGGATACTTACGACATGTCTCTTTAGCTTCCTTGACTTATTCTACTATATTTGAAGAAGAGAAGTTAAAGTTAGTTTAATTAGATCCCAAGTATTTTCATTTAGAGATAATACTATTATATTGCGTCGTACACTGGGTATTAATGCAAGTTACACTATTACTTGTAAGTATTATCAGTGGAATTATAAATCCATAGTACCTATTATTTATATTATTCAAGATAATGATGGTCTTTTCTTAATGGTATGTCGGGGAATAATATAGGAACAGTTATGTAATGATGTTATATTTTTGTTACATTTTCTTTATTCATAATTAGGTAACTTAATTAATTCTAAATAATAACCTCCCCTCACCGCTCGAAAAAAATCGAAAAGCTGTTATTTAACTATCTTAGGCTGGTATTACAGTATGACAACTAAGTGTTGATCGTTACTTGAGTACAGTTAGAAAGTGATGTCGCTTTGTATAGCACATAGCGACATCCCTTTCTAACTGTACTCAAGTTAAGATCAACACTTATAATAGTTGTCATTCTGTAATACGAGTATTAGATAGTTATGCTAATGATGCGTAGAAATACAGGTACTTTCCTAACTACTTCTGAAATGTTATTTTCAGCATAAAATTATATTTATTCATTACATTTTGTCATTTTTTTTTTATCCATTATCTATAAAAAAATATCTTGGAGAGAAATGATAAGTCATACATAAATTAATATTATTTAATGTCTTGCTAATAATGTAGCACATAGGTATATAAGACAAAGTAACAAATATACCATATAATAACAACAATATGATTCATATCTCACTTTTGTGTATTTGACGAACCCAGCCTTTCGTCAAAAACGACGTAACTCCCGCCCTTACCTTATAATAATTATTTTTTTATTAATTTTTGACTTGTTAGCCTCACTCATATGGCACTATAACAAGCTAAATCTAAAAAGTTACCATTTTAATACCAAACGAACGTTACAACTTCACGGTAATTCCAGGAGTTACGGCAACTAAAACATGTTTTCTAATTTTATGAATATCGTTTTTAAAAAGCTTTTGTCGTTTCGTCGTTTTCGTGGGCGTTCCTTACCAAAAGTATCGTGTTGAGGGTAGATTCCTTAATATCTTGAGGTGCGGGAGTCCAAATCGGCCCTATTATAGGTGGTGTTCGTTTGCCACCCCACGCGCTAAATTTCACTTTCCTCTTACCGTCTTTCTTCAAGTTCACATCTGCGTACGGATGTCCAGGTTTAAATATCTTCGGTAGTGATTCCAAGAAAGCTTTGAACGGGAGAGCATCCCTCAGCGTTTTCTCATTTACGTTGGTGCTCAATGCCAGTATCTTGATGGGATGCCTCTTGTCCAGCGAGGGTATGAACTGGAAACCGGCCAAGTCGAACCTCTTCCCGTTGGGTGAGAAATTGGAGACGATACGCGTAAGCTCGGGAACAGTCGTGGAGAATATAATTTTCGATCCTTTGGTTCCCGGCTTTAGAACCATTTGTCCTGATCTTTTGCCTCCCCATGGTGAGAATCGAACTCTCTTCGGCATATTCGGCTCTCTTTTGTTCGCCGACCGTTTCCAACTCCACATGTGCTCAACATTAGAGTTACTCCGCTTCCCTCCCCAAGGGCTAAAGTTCTTCTTTTCCTTTGGCTCCAAAATATTCATCATGTCAGTGGAGTTATCTTCCATTGCGCCCGAAAATCCTAATATGAATGGACTGCCTAATAATTTGTCGTCGTTTTTAATGTATGCGGTTTGGTCTGTGTCCACTAGATTTGGAAGCCAACGTCTCGAGCGTTCGTCTTCTTCTTCTTGGACTGTGCGCCTTTTTCTTTGTAGATCAGGAGGTTGTTCCCTTTCGTCATGTTGGTAGAACTGGTTGTAGGTTTGCATTTCTCCTTGGTAAGGCTCTTCAGAGCGGGATGGTTGTAAGTTGAAATAGTGGACGTATGGCAAGGGGTAGTGCAATGTGGAGTCCAGGGGGTCGAGTACTGTCTCCGCGGCAGGACCTCCTGTGTTGATATACTGAAGACTGACCGTGCCGAGCCATGAGAATGTCAGGATGAGCCAATTGTGGGACATTTTTCTGAAAAAGAATTTTTTATTTATTGTAGCGATATATGAGTAGATCGATGGTACAGTTGTCAACGCGTTCGACCTGCGATCATGGAAGTTATAAAACTCGCAATCGCCGATCATAGGATTGCTAACCATAAATTGATTATCTCTCATGCTTCGAAAGGCATGACAAGGCCTTAGTCCGGCTGTATCGGCAACCGTCAGCCCCCACCCATCATCACTGAGCACGCGTAAATTAGGTGGGTCACAGCCTCACAGCCAGGGATGCAAAATAACGTCACACAAATAATGTGCGATCAAAGTTAAATCTAGCAAAGACCAAAGTCACTTCCACGTTTTCTAATTATTTTGGCTGTAAAATGACTTAAAGCTTTGGCACTTGCCAAACCGCCGACGATGAACAAAAAGCGAGTAGAACTACAAACTAGAAATGAATTGATGAGCAGCGGGAAGCAAATATGAAGTTCCGATAGTTTTATCGCTGGTTTATAAGCGAGTGTGCAAGTACAACTTGCTATTGCTCGTGCCACTCGCTCGCGGTGACGGTCATGAGCATAATTGCACGAGCACGCGTTATGACGGCCAAGCGAGCATCGCTGAGCTAGTATTATCTTTGATAGCTCTTGTCGCTCAGCGAAAAACTAATGGAGCGAGTTCTCGCCGGAAGTGTAAACAGTCAGCGATCAACTATTAATATATGCATCTCTTTTAATTACACGGAATGTTTCTTGAGCGAGAAAATAGCAATTTACAATACAGATTAACATTCTCTGGCGAGTTGGACATTACACTCCATTGTTGTTCGAAAATAAAATATAGCCATAAGCAGTGGGCACTTTGGGCAAGTGCCCAGGGCCCCACGATCTACAGGGGCCCCCTCAGATCAAATACAAAATCCCTAGTTCCTGTCAAATCACCAAACGGAAGTCATAGGGGCCCCATTATCCTAATATGCTCAGGGCCTCCAATAGGTCAAAGACGGCACTGGCTATAAGGTTTAGAGTACGCAACTGATATTTTATTGGATTAAAATTACGAATAGGGTTTCAAATTGAGGGAATACATTTCAATCGGAGAGGTACGTAGCTACAACAAATTAATCATGCGTGTAGAAGTAATTCGCCGAAGTTCAGAAGCTAATGCTTTGAATAAGAATTGTAAAAGAGTTTCGGAGGGTCGTTTCATCATTTCTTAACGCTGTCAAAACCCCGCTAATGCACAGATCTCTTTCTTAATTTTATTTTCAAAAGTTGACCTTTTCCTGAATCTTTTAGTTAAAATCTTGTCTTAGTTGTCATATTTTATTTATTTTCACTAAAAATACAGGTATACAAAGACAACTTATTTCGCCAAACTGAAAAGTCAGTTTGTTGACGAATAATACGCTCATAACATTTTTTTCCTTTTTTTCTTTCTATATATATTATTATTATTATAGCCTTTTTATTTCCTTAATAAATATTAAATATACATGTCAATCATTCAGTTCAATTCCAATAATATTAGGTCAATCAATAACAAACATGTCAATTATAATTTGAAAAAAAAAAAATTGTCATTACACATATTTCTATTTATTAAGGACCCCTCAGCGAGTAAAGGCCTACTCCATTTTACTACAATTTTTTCTATCTTTGCTCTTGGTGATTCAGTCTCTACGTGACGACTACAACCCTCTACATATACCCACCACCACCATAGAAATAGGTACTATACAAAATTTGGCACACACACCATTATCTGATTAAAAGTAAGTATCCAATGCGCTGGTTCGCACATAGAATCATCATCATCATCAGCCTTATAATATCCCCACTGCTGGGGCACAGGCCTTTCCTTTGGATGGAATAGGGAGTTTGGGCCATGACCCACCACGCGGGCCCAGTGCGGATTGGTGGGTGCTAACGACTGCAGATGCTGCCAGGACCAACGGCTTAACGTACCTTCCGAAGCACTGAGGAGCTCGAAATAGTGAATTTTTGGTAACCCATCCAATGACCGACCACTACGAAAGTTGCTTAACTTCAACGATCGCAGCCGAACACGCTAACCACTTGCGCCATGGAGCTCCTCGCACATAAGATACTAACTTTTAACCAAAGTCCTCTAAATGAATATATGAAATTGTGAAACTGCTTTGTTATAAACAACAAGTGCCCGTCTGGGAAAGAAACCTCTACCTTACAGAAGAGAAAATAAAAAAAAAAACAGTAAAATAACTCGTCCTTTTAGTGCTATTTTGTTTCTGTAGGTGAGTAAGGTTCCAGCCTCCCTAGCATGAGTACCGCGATATGATATATAGCACGTTTTTATCACGCTCAATTGTCAAATTACTATGGAGTTTGACAGTAAGACATGATAAAAATCTTTAATGCTCATGCTACAGCCCCCCTAGCATGACTTACAAAACGCGATATGATAAAGCGATTTATCGACATTAACTGTCACACTACTATGGAGTTTGATTGCATTGCTAGGGGGGCTTGGATGGGTAGGTAGAGCTAGCTAGCTAGATGGAAGTTGACCTCAACTCATGTTTGCAAGTTTGATGCCAACTTTCAATTTGACGACACTATAAGAAACAAAATAGAGAGAAGCAGCCCTTGCTCAGTTTCTTTCCGGTTCTTCTCAGCACAAGTTCTCCCGCCGTAGTTTTGCGAACCGATGGCGTAGTTTTCGACTTTCACATGTACTTTTAAAAGCCTAAACTGAATAAAAGACTGTTGAATTTGAATTTTAGGGGATTGGGTCAGGATAGGCATCAGTCGTTTTTAGAGAGAGAGAAAAGAAAACGCAGTCGGTGTTGCCACTTTTAGAAAGAGTTTATCGTTATTCTGAATTAATTTGCTTTGAATTGGTTGCAAGCTCGATATGAGACTTCTTAACTTATTTTTTTTATGATTTTCTTTACTTTTGCAATTAAGCAATCAATGATAGACAGTGACAGTAGTAGAATACATGTATAATAGTAGTAGTTCGAAAGAAAGAAAGAAAAACATTTTATTGGTCTTCACAGCATTAATTTAGAGAAACAAAATGGTCATATAATAATAAAACATAGACATAATAAAAAACATGGGAACTAGGCCAATAGGACGCTGCCTCAGCTATGCTCTGTGGTAAACGCTTTCGCGATACCACAATTCAATTCACTATTATTCAATGCTACCCTTGCGTTTGTCAATTGAACTGTCGCTAATTGGCGGAAATAGCAAACACAAAATCAACATTGATTTCTCAGTACGTTACAATTACAGACCACCTTAGCGTCGTGTCAATTACTAAGAATATTCGTTCGTAATTTACACTTTTTCCTATTCAAAGAAACCGGACAAGTGCGGGTCGGACTCGCCCACAATGGGTTCCGTACAAATTTGTGGATACGCAATATAAACGACTATATCCTTTTTTCCGTTACAAAGAAGTTTGTTTTTGATACTTGAGTATATATATGGTTTAATTTCAACTCGATACCTCCACGCGTTTCCGAGATAAAGGTTCTTTGATAGATAGACGGACAACAAAGTTATCCTAAAAGGGTTTGGTTTTTGTCGATTGAGGCGCGGAATCCTAAATCAATTTTCAAAGTATCTATAAATTTGTTACACATCTTTATTTAAAATAAATTTAACATAACATAACATAGAGTGTACACTTCACGTCATACAAATATAATTTCAACTTTGACTACAAAAGCTTATCTACTTCAACTAAAAAGATCAAAGTTTTAAAAGTTCTTAAAAAAAAATTAAGTATTTTTGGTGAAACTTTAATAAAAAAAAATTTTTATACCATAAATTCATTATAACTAGATTCTAGTCCTGTCTGTTTTCTGATACATTTAATAAAGGGACCTTCACAGCTAAAATTAATAGGCATTACTTGTTTGCGTATTCCACATCGTTGCTTAAAATCGGGTACGATTGTAGTCAAACGCGCTCTAATCTTTTATAGAAAAATAAAAGAAAAATTCTTCATATATATTTTATAAATAATTCTTCGTATTATCTTCTAAATAAAATTTCCTTACAAAACAGATCACGAAGGTCGGCAAATTTTTCACCGAGATTTTTATAAGCCCACGATTCTTTTGTCAATAAATGAAAATAAATTAAGTAAACGTATCAAGCAAGGCGGTTGGCAGCGGATTGAATTTACTGGGCTAGCATCCTTACCGCGTAATTCGTATTGTGTTTGTGAATAATGTCGTCAATGTAGCGTAATTTCGAACGACGTCGGCGAAGGCAGATCACTCGTTATTTTTGAATTCTTTAAACCTTATTTCCGTGAAAAGTTAAATAAGTATATTTTTTTAGCAGTAAAAGGAATCCTCTATTTACTCATTTCTAATCAACCGCGAAGGTTACAACAATGTGAGGGTAATACATAACTATTTCTATTATGTGGTTTCAAATGAATTTTCTTTCTATTTCACTCGTATACTTTTATGATAATGTTTATATTGAGTTAGTCTCCTAGTCTAAGATTCCTCAAATTATTTTTTATATTATTAATATTTTTTATATCATGGTATGGTATCACCAGATAGTTCATTGAAAAAGTATATATCCCTCAAGACCTAAACACTTACATTATTTCATTTTCACTCGCACTATGTTCATTCTAAATACACCTAACTCTACCAAAAGATCGCCTGTAAGCTGTGTGCAAGTAGGTAGCTTATTCATTAATAATATATTATTTAATTTTTGAAGTGAAAAGTTCTTTAGCGGCGTTGTACACTTTTTTGTAATGGGTAAAAAATGTTAAACTCGCGTCAGGACACGTGGCCTGATCGAAAATTCGTAAGACGAAAAAAATAAAATTGGAAAGGTTGTTGACTTTCAATATATTGGACGAAACATAGTAACATTTTATTTTATCGTATTATAATAATAAGTCTCTAACTAGGACGTCCAGGTGGCGTGCAGCTTTAGTGCTTCATTTTTTTACAATAGATGTCGCTAGGTGCGCTTAAATGTGATTCATGTAAGTTGATTTTTAGAA